AGAATATGGATAGTAAAGGCCATTCTGATGAGGTGTCAGATAGAAATGAGGAACATGTCATTGGACGAGAAAAAGCAATCCTCATTATAAGGTGGCAAAGAACTTGACTGAACTGTGTTTCTGTCCAGCGTTTTGTGGAAGGCAGAACTTGCTAGTGATGAAATTGGATACCTAGCTGAGAAGATTTCCAAACAAAGTGTTAAAGGAGCCTCTTGGTTCATCCTGATTGCTTATGGTGAGATGGGAGAAGAGAGAAATAGTTTCAAGACCTGGCCCATGGTCTGTGCCACCCTCAAGCCTCGTGCATCCACAAGCAAAAAGGAACCAGAACTTAAAAGATTTGGAAAATTCTCAGCCTATCCATATTGCAAAAAAAAGAGAAAGCATGTTTGGAAGAAAAGACTAAGGGTGTGTCCAAGAGACCATTTCATAAGGAGATTAGTGTGGGTGTGAACCATGCACTTAATCAACCATCTCAACAAAATCCAGACACAGAGATGGGATTATCTCAGCAGAAACACTACCAGCTGGGACTAAAAGAAACAGAAAATGGGGCAAAATAAAGGAAAGCTATCTGACATCTTAGACCCTACGAGGCTGGACCACAGAGTTATTTGGCTGTGAACATGCACTGCTCTTAAAGACAAGGGAAGAAAGACCCTGAGGGTGATTCAGGGATCATTCAGGGCTGCCACTCCCATACAGGAGTCCACAAACCATACTCCAGATGTAAAATTCTCAACTGGATTACTACATAGATTCTTAGCTAAGAGAGGAAAAAACTAAAACTGGCATTAATTAGAAAAAAATCATGAAGAGGAAACTATCTCCTTTTTTGATAAGGACAGGAGTCCACAAACCATACTCCAGATGTAAAATTCTCAACTGGATTACTACATAGATTCTGAGCTAAGAGAGGAAAAAACTAAAACTGGCATTAATTAGAAAAAAATCATGAAGAGGAAACTATCTCCTTTTTTGATAAGGTTTATAAAATTGAGAGTTTAGGGAAATGCCGGGGGATGTGTATGCTGATATCAGCAAAGGCATGGGAGATACTTTTATAAAAGCCTCATGATCAGGATGCAGAACTCCATAATGGAAAATGGCACAGTGAATTAGGTAGTTTGTGCTGACTGGCCATCCATGGGCCCCGAGAATGCTGAGCTGAAGTGCTCATCCAAGCGTGTAACATTGCCCCAGGGAAATGTGACACTCAAAGGTACAAAGTTGGGAAACTTCAAGGAGACTGGACAACAGGGGAAGGTGCTCAAAGAGACTGCAAGAAGCTGCAACACTGAGCCCAGCCTGAGTTGTACTTAAAGAACAGCAGAACCAGAACTAAGTCCTAAACACACACGAGAAGACAGTGGCCCCCAAGCCAACCAAAGCGTAAGGAGGCAAGAGTGAAAAGACTTGACGTGCATCTGACAGTTATGATAAGACACCATGCTTGATGTAGACATAAGCCATTGCACTTAATCACCGCTAAACCCTGACAAGCTGGCATTCATGCCTAGTCTGTAGATGAAGAAACAGTGGCTTGTCCCAGGACACATCACAAGAAGCGATGACAGCAAAGCACCTTCCACTCCTGCTGCCATCCTGAAAGCACATCTGCGTTGGTCACAATCCAGTGGCCTCAAATCAACATCAGCTCTTCAGAGCAGGATCCCACCAAGCCCTGCACTAACCGCACCTTGCCTGCAGTACTGGGCTTCACTGTCACTAAGCTTCAGGAATTGTACTAAAGAACCAGAGTGTGTCCTACAGAGGTTGGCCGGCAAAGGGACACCATGCCACATGAGGGCCATACAGGAGACTCAGTGTTACCATCTCCCTTCACACAGGCAACTACAGTACAGCATTCTTCCAGCATTAAAGGCTGTCATTTACAGGAGGAAAAGACTTACTAAACTGGACGGAAATAAGTCCCATGGGCTGAGTGTCTGGGAAGACAGATTTTCACTAATATGGGGGCACTTAAAAAGTTTGTAGAAAAATGAAATTAGAAGATAATATGCATCTTTCCATGAACTTTTTGAAGACTCCTTGTATAAATGTAGTGTCTTGAAGCAATTAGAACTCTCCAACAACAAAACTCTCTGCCTTGAGAAAACGTTTAGACTCCAGGCAGAGGTGTGACTGCTGTGGAGGAGTGAGCTGATGCACTCACTGAGGACATGCTGGGCCAAGTGAGCCTGAAGGTCTCCAGCCGCGCTGAGGTCCACAAACCCATGCTGTCAAGATGATCCTCACTGGAACGGAGGCTGAGTGTGTGAGACCCATTTCCATCTGTCCCTCATCTGTCTGTCCATTAGCCAGCATCCATTCACTCACCTATCATCCACCCATTAACCTGCCTATCCATCCATCTGTCCAACCATCCACCCACTTGTCCATTTGTCTGTCCATCCATCCATCCACCCATCCATCTACCCACCCACCCACCAATCCATCCACCCGCTGGTCATTCATTGTCCATTCATCCATTTACCCACCCATCCATCCATCCACCTACTCACTTGCCTGTCCACCCATCCATCCACTCATCCATCTACCCACCCACCCACCAATCCATCCACCCGCTTGTCATTCATTGTCCATTCATCCATTTACCCACCCATCCATCCATCCACCTACTCACTTGCCTGTCCACCCATCCATCCACTCATCCATCTACCCACCCACCCACCAATCCATCCACCCGCTGGTCATTCATTGTCCATTCATCCATTTACCCACCCATCCATCCATCCACCTACTCACTTGCCTGTCCACCCATCCATCCACTCATCCATCTACCCACCCACCCACCAATCCATCCATCTCTCCATCCATCCATCCATCCATGTCTGTCCATCTACTCACTTGTCCATCCATCCATCCATGCACCCACTCATCCACCTACCCATCCATCTACCTACCTACCCATCCATCCATCCACCCACACACCAATCCATCTATCCACTGGTCATCCATCTGTCCATACTACATCCATCCACGTCTGTCCATCCACTCACCTATCCATCCACTCATACATGTACCTACCGATGTATCCATCTACCCACCCATCTGTCCAAATGTCCATCTACACACCTGCACTTACCTGTCCATCCATCCATCTATCCACCCATCCACTCATCCATCCATTGGTCATCTATCTGTCCAACAAACAGATGCTGAGTACCTCCTTTGTGCTAGACCCTGGGTAAATAGGACCTGCCCTCTGCTCTCGAAATGTCACACAGTACTGGAGGTGAACAGATCAGAGATGATAATTGCAATAACAGAGGTGAGTCCAGGCTGCTGGGATGGAGAGGCTAGGAAACCCCGGGGAGGAAGACATGTAGAGAAAAAACAGGTGTTAGCCACACCAAGGCAAGGAGGACATTCTGGATAGAGGCAAGAGCAGCACCAAGGCCTGGGCCACCCCAGGCTGTGCGGCACTGCTGGGAGAGGCTGGAAGGCGGCTAGTCACGGAGGGCTTGGTCAGCCTTGTTAGTGAACCCAGGTCTTGTGTGGTGGCCTCAGCTTCCCCAAGTCTCCTTGATTCCACCCTCCTCTGTTCTGTTCACTGCTAGCACCCTGGCCCATGGTCTGTGCCACCCTGAAGCCTCGTGCATCCACAAAGCCACAGCTGCATGGCAGCCTGGAACCTCGGAGCCAGGAACTAGTGTGGCATGCTTGCTGGGGGACAAGACGCTACAGGTGTCAAGGTGTGCACGTACATGTGATGTTCGTGTGTGCACACACATGTGATGCTCTGTGCACGTGTGGACGTCTGCACGTGAGCAAGCATATGAGAGCACACGCGTGAGCACATTTGTGTTCAAGTGAATATGGTTGCTCTGCATGTGCATGCATGCATATGTACATGTGTGTACACATGCATATGTATATGTGCGTGCACATGAGGTTGTCTATGCACATGCTTGTGCATGGATATGCCAGGTACCTGGGCACGCCCCAGGGTGCGTCAGATCCAAGGCTGTTGGTGGAGCCTGGAGAGTAGGTACAACTGGGCTCACAGACAGGCACCTGCACAGACACTGGGCAGGACTCATATATTTCCAGGCCAAGGCACAGTTGATATTTCTGGGTCAAACCAGGAGAGTGAAAAGGAAGTAAATATAAGATTCCTTGCAGGCACATTCCGCTCTATTTCACGATCTGAGAGTGGTTTGATGGCCCATCACAGAATACCTAAGAGCGAAGCTGCGATCCACCAGATCCCAACCTGGCAGCAGATGCAGCTCACTCGCCCTGTGGGCTCTTCTTGCATCTTGCAGACCCCAGACCACTGTTCCCATGTCTTCCCAGACTGTTTTGTTAATTCAGCTGCATAGATATGTGAAACATGTGATGTGCCTGGAGCTGCAGGGCATTTGGCGTTTATGCTCACACACACATGCACACTCAAACGTGTCCACACAGGTGCACATACACACTCACACACACACGTCTGTCTGGAAAACACAAAAGAAGAAATTCTCCATCTGGAAGCATGGAAGCTTTCTAGGAAATATGGTCTTCTAAAGAATTTGGCAGTTCAGATGTTGTAAGTCAAATCCTAGCTAATCTATAGAACCTGTTATCAAAGTAGTTTTTCCCCAAATAGCTGCCTGCCCTGCAAAGAGATGCTCCCATCCATCACTGCTACAAGGACACCTGCATGTTGCCCACACGATGCCAGAGGCTCAGACCAGGGTTTTTGCCTCTGCAGAGTGACCCCGTGTCCTGGGACCCTGCCAGACCTCCTGAGACTGCCGGCTCTCCTGTGCCCAGCCAGACCCACCTTGCATCTTCTCCAGCTTGCCCATGTACAGGCTGAAGAGGGAGTAGATGCGCTCCGTCTCACGGTCCCCATCAATGTCCAGCTGGATGTTTGCCGGGAGGCCGCTGTCCAAATACAGTGACAACAGGAAGAGGAGAACAATGATCTACGTGATGCTTTTAACCACGATGTTAGTATTTAAAAATCACCAAAGAAAAAAGGTGAGTGACCAATATTAAATCTCATCCCTGAGGTCAGCTGACAAGGGGGCTACGGGTGGCTCTGGGGGAGTGTGTGGGTGTGAGAGTTCGGGAGCATTTAGAGGGGGTGACCCTGTCTGCAGGCCTCCGGGACCCACAGATCTGCCAAAAAAGAAATGACCTGGAATAAAATGCCCTCTTGGGTATGTGTCCCCTGAAGGGCTGGGTTTCCTTTCCTCCCCTGAGGCTGTGGGGACAAGAGTCATCCTCATTGCCACATGCACAAGCCCCATCAAGTACAACCAGGGGGATGCCAAGCCCCCAGCAAGGCCTGGGGCACCCAGGCTGCCCTCCTAGGCCTGGCAGAGTTGGCCCCAGATGCTAACGAACTGCAGGAGGCCCAGTCACAATGGGGCAAGGACGGCAAGGGTTACTTGGTTTCCAAGGCAGGAGTGTGCAGGGATGTCAGGTGGGGCGCCTGTGAGCAGGATGCAGCTTTCAAGAGGTGGAACGTTTCCAGGCTCTTCTTGGAAGACACAGGATGGCACCTGCCCCTGGGTGTCTTCTCTGCATTGAGCCCCTCCTCACCCTGACTCCCCACTTCCCCAAGGACAACTCCACTGCAGCAGGTGCCCAGAAGGAACCTTGAAGCCTCAGACCTAGGCGCTCCCTCGGGCGGAGACTGCTCTCTCCAGAGCAAAAATAGCCCTGCTTGTGCGTGGCTCACTGGTGAGCACGGGCTGCGTGTCAGCCCCAGTTTCCCTGGATGGTACACAAGCTGGACGACTGTTCCTGGCCAAGCCTGGGGGCTGGGCAGGGCGCCGGTGCTGGAGAGAACCAGACCTACCCGGTGCAGGGGGAGCAGCCTGGGGCTGTGTCCGAGGAGGCCCTGCAGCACAGCCAGTGGCCATTCAGGTAGGCAGACGGGTGGTAGACAGCGAGGCGCTTCTGGTTGCACTGGCTCACTTTGGTGAGGACATCGATCCAGTCCTTGGCCTCCACACAGTTGTTGGCCTGGATGTACAGAGCGCGTTCTGGCTGGATGACCTGAAACATCTGCAGACACAGGACAGGTTCAGGAGGCTGCCAGCGAGCGTGTAGCTAAACTACAAGAGTCTAATGGGCACTTGCCCATTGTCACCAATGCCTTAGAAGGGGGACACTAAGGCTCTGCAGCTGACACAGGCCTAGATGGGCCCAAGGGCTGCAGCCAAGGCTCTGGACCTCTGGGCACCAGCAGAGGCTGAGGTTGTGGCTGCAAAGGGCGCCCTGCTGCCGTTGATCCTGACAATAAGGGCTGTGGATGACACAAGAGGCAAGAAGTAGAGAGGCCAACGCAACTGGGCCAGGTCACTGGGAGTCTTGGGGCCTCAGTGGTCTCCATTCAAATGCAAAGTGGGCACTGCCTTTGCCCTCAGAGACTCCTGGAGCCGACCATGGCATTACATGCATGTGGGCTGGGTTTCCACGTGAGGGGCTTCCGAGCAGCTCCTCCTGCCCACCCACTGTTCACACCCTAGCCCCCGCCTCCCACCCCCGGGCCTTTGCACATGCTGTTCTCCCATCTGGACAGCTCCTCCCAACCTGCCAGGTGTTACTTCCTCATGAGGCTTCTGGGAGCCCCCACTCACTGCCGTTCATTATTTACTCAACAAATGTTACTGAGCACCAGACACCACCCCAGGTCGTCGGGACACAGTGTGACCCAGAGTTTCTGCCCTTGTCAACATCCAGCCAACAAGAAAGACAAAAGGGAATGTGAGGTGCAGGGCTGTGGGGCGACAGCTCTCGGGGCCAGAAAACTCTAAATGACCTGGCCCTCCAGCTGAGCTTGACCAGGCAGAGGGCAGTGCGGCAAGTGGAGGATGAAGGGTGTCCCAGGTAGAAGGGATGGTAGGTGCAAAGGTCCTGGGACCAGAAGGGATCAGGGGCTCCCAGAAGGAGCAGCCAGACTGCACACACAAGATGCGGGTGGGCAGACCAGAGGTCTGGGAGGACCTTCAGGTTGGACCTGTCCTAAGGACAGGAGTCAGGAGACGGCAGACTTCTCCAGGGGAACAAGCCTTCTCGACGGACATGAGGAGGACTCTGACTCCAGATTTCTGGGCGAACAGCTAGGGTCTCATTTACAGAGATCAGGAGCCACCCTGCACCCTGCACACACGTGTGCACGTGCCTCAGACTCTGAATGTCCTGACCACCATCCCAGGCTGGCCCTGCAATGGGGCTCAGCACATAGGAGCCCTCGACAACGGCTGAGTTCATCAGAACACTGGCCCAATAGGTGGCACGGCAGCTGGCTCCATGGGGTCAGTGAGAAGAAACCGGCTGAACAGATGCTGCTAAAAACAAGGAATTATTCAAAACGTAAGTAGGGGCTCCAGCTGCTCTCAAGACATCTCTGCTTCTTTCAGGGACAGTCTATAGGGACAGCATTCCCCAGGCCCCCACACAACAGCTTCGCGAGCCCTCCTGACTCTGCCTCCCCTTGAGACCTGGAAACCCCATGGTGAGGATATCCAGCAGACACGGTCAACTCGAAATGCTACAGAACTCAACTAAAGAAAAGGTGGGACCCAGCCTTTCAGTCTCCTGGAGGAGGTATGTTGGGTGTTAACACCCTTCAGGTCCAGAAAAAGTCTCACCTCTGCCCCCAGGTGACCCACGTGCCCAGGAGATCCTTTCAAGTGGCCCTGGAGGATGAGCTGAGTGGTGCCTGTCCTGTCTGGGCCAGGGAGGGTTGTAGTGTCCACCAAGCTAATCGCCTGGCTAAACAGGACACTGGCCACCTCACTGCTCTGGCCCCAGCCCTTTTCTGCACACAGTGAATACCACGCCTACGCAGAGCCCTGCCCAAGGAGGAACCCACAGACACCGGCAGCACTGGCTCCGCCACCATGAAAATAATTCACAGGGAAGCCTGCATAAGTCCCACCCCCACCCCCACGCCCAAGCATGAGCTGTTGCTGAAAAATAACTCCCAGCATCTGAGGAAGATCCTTGGGGTGACATGGGACGGCTTGTGTGGTCTAAAGGCTCTGAGATCCAAGTGTGTCCCTCTCCAGGGGCACTCCCTATGGTGGGGAAGAGGCCACAAAGCAGGAAATGGCTGGAGGCCCTGGGAGGGAGGGCTGTTTGGGAGGTGGGACGATCTAGATCCAAATTCTTCCACCTGAGCAGAGGCAACTCCTGCAACTTCCTTGGCCTCTGTGAGCCTCAGGTTCCTCACCGGGAAGTGAGGTGAAAGTTGTACCTTCCTCCCATCAGGTGTTACCAGGAGGCAACGACCCCAGGACACACACACATACCCTGGAGATGATTCTGGCAGCTCTCGGTCGACCCGAGGCAGAGATGCCCAGGGCTGCCAGCCAGTCCACAATTCCACCCTGGGACATAAGGGCACCTCATTAAGGTAAGGTCTCTTTTGGCAAAGGATTCTGAGTTACTCCACTTGGTTCTGCCTGTTGCAGGATCCTGTTTGGACATTCCCCAAAATAACATAATAGAATTCAACCAACTACAGGGAAGTTCAGGTATTGTCACAAGCAACATAAACAGACTAATACAGGAGCCCAAACTGGCAGGTAAGAATTTGAGCATGATGAAGGTATTGACATAGCTCAGTGCATGTAACAAATCACTGATAGACAAGGGAAAGAGCTGGCAGCAGCCCCTTCCTCAGTGCTCAGAGCCGCAGCACCAACCATGAGACCAGCCCACCAATACACCTCACAGACAGCGCATGAGAAGGACACACGACATCGTGAGATTCCTGCCAAAAACGCACAATTGGAACCTCCCACGGCAGAACATCCGACAGACCCGAACTGAGGGACACCTACACAATGGACTGACCTGTAAGTTCCAAAATGCCACAGCCGTGAAGAACAGCTGAGGAAGGTTCCAGATTAAGAAGACAAAGCAGACAACTAAATGTGATATGTGATGCTGGATTGGATCCCAGCCTGGGGAAAAACAGCAGCTATAGAGAACAGTATCAGGACAACCAGCAAAATTTAACGATGGCCTGTGGATTTGTACGAATGTTGCATGAGAATTAGGTGATCTGGTTTTGGTAACTGTACTGTGGTTCTATAAAAGAACGTCCTTGTTTTCAGAAAATGCGCCCTAAAGTATTCATATGGCTTAGGAAAAGAACACATATGTTACACGTAGAAAGAGACTGAGAGAGAACGCACACGATTAACCGGAACGCACATAGCCTGGCTAAAGGGGACATGAGGATTCCTTCTATTCCTGTGACTTTTTTACAAGTTCATATTATGCCAACGTTAGAAAGCTTCAAAAAGCAGCCCCAAATGGTCTCAAGCTTGTTCTTGGTGTCCTTTAACAGGGGGTCCCTTCCTCCCTCCCACCCACATAGCTCAGGCCCCACCTTCCAGCAGGTTCCGCCCACCCCAGTGACCCCCAGACAGAGAGCATTGGGCTGCTTTGGTACGAGATTTGGCTATTACATGGAGGCCCTGAGAGGGTGTGGAAGGGCCGTGCCCGGTGCTGGGAGGGTCCGAGGAGAGGAAAGAGGATGGAAATACCAGGCCAGGTGGCTCAGCCTGGAGACGGGCACTCACATTTTTCATTTTGAAGGACTCCTCCTCCAGTTTTTCCACTGCCAGAATGTTCTCGATGGGAATGCTGTAGAGAGGCTGGTCTCCTGCAGCAGATGGGAGCAAGTGAGTGGCAGCTCCTTGCGGGTGGAGCGCCCCAGGGAAGAGCAGTGCTGGGTCCTCCTCCTGTGAGCGCGAAAGCTGAGAGACTGGACCAGGTCGAGGGGGCCCAAGGGGCCTGGAGACCTGTGTGGCCCAGACATGTGGCCACACACCTGTGCCCTCCCACTGGCCAGGCAAGACCCAATACTCGAGTCCGCACAACTATGACAAAATCTCTTCACGACGGTGTCCAGGAAACACGAAAAAGAAATCGTCTTCTCGACATTTCATAACCTAGACCTGAGCCACTTCAGATCCAGGTGGAACCGCCAGAACAGGACTAAGGCCGCCACTGACCTATCGATGCTGATGCCCATGACCAGCCCAGAGCCACGTAGCCCAGCCTCCGCCCCGGCCAGCGCTCAGCGGCGCTCACACGGGAAACAGGCCACACGGAGGCTCCTGCTGGGGGCAGGCACGGCTTCGGGAGCCATATCAAGGGCACGTCTGAGTCACGGCATCAGAGCGTGACCATGGCTGAGACCCTGAAGATGGGGACGGAGGGAAGGACCAGGGCTGCGGGAGGCAGGTTTTCCTGCCGGGCCACACACTCGCCCACGGCCCGGTGCGGGGGCTGAGGCTCGCGGGGGGCCCGAGCGGGCTGCGCTGCTCTGAGCACACGCACGTGAAGACAGCGGGGACAGGGGCGCCACCCTCCGTCGTTACCTTTGCCCTTCTGGTAGGTAAACTCGTGGTTCGTCAGGCGGAACCACCTCTTCTTGAAGTTCTTCATCCCGAAGCGCTTTCTGCCCTGCGCCCTCTTAATCATGAACCTGTCACGAAAGAAACACGCGGTTGGCGGCCACACGTGCGCACGGAGGCTGGGCCTCCCCGCTTCCTCCCCACCGGAGGCTCAGCGAGGCACGCGCAGGCCGAGGACCCGGGCCGGGCTCATGAGAACACGCCACATCGAGGTGCGGTTGCCTTCCCGCGTGTGGGCCTATGCAGAAGCGGAACGAGGGCGCACGCGCAGAGCCCCGCCATGCTCTTCCGGACGTGCGCGCGCACGTCAGCCCGCCGGGCGAGGCTACACGCAGAGCCCCGCCATGCGCTTCCGGACGTGTGTGCGCACGTCAGGGCACTGGACGAGATCTGCGTGGTGCACCCGAGGGCTCCACGGACGCCCGGAGCTCACGTGAGGACAGAGGCCCAGGAAGGTAAGACGGTTCTTGTTGGGGGCCCTGGGCCGCGGAGGGCAGGAAGTCTTGCGAGTGTTCCTCAGGGCCCTGCACTGTCCTCGCCCCGAGTCCGCACTCCACACCCGCTGCGAGGATCGCAGCACCGCGGGCAAGGCGCAGAGCAGGGGCTCGGTGCAGGGGAAGGAGTCCGGGGTCGCAGTGGACCACGGCACAGGCCCGGGACGGCCCGCAGCCCCTGCACGGGCTGTTTACACCTGCGAACGGCACCTCTGAACCTGCACCTGTGGCAGTTTCTCCAGGTGAGGTGTTAAGCCCTTGAGCGTACCGAGCTGTTTTAGGGATTATAGGGTGATTACCTGCTGCACTGAAAATTGTGAATTTATTTAATGTGTATTATACGATATCACGTGTATATATGTTACCTACGTTATTGGTTAAGACACGTTGAAGTTAAAGGTGATTTGAAGAAAAATATTTAAGACAGCAATACCCTGACGAGGGTGCACAGTGCTCAGAGGCAGGACATCAGGTGGTCGTAGAGCAGACCCCCACCGACAAGGACTGGGAGACTGCTGCAAGGAACCCAGGCTGCAGGCATGTGGTACCTGTCCTCTGACCCTCGTTTCCTGATAGACCCCTTAAGAGCGTTGGGGTAGAGGGAAGGCCAGAGATGAGCCAACCATGCAGAAGCCTTGGCTATAGGATGATTCAGCCTGTCCCTCCTTTGGTGGATTGATGCCCCCACCAAAACTCAGTCCCCACTGTGACAGTGTAAAGAGAGTGGGAAATTCTATTACGGTTATTGAAAGGTGGGACCTTGAAGACATGATTGGACTGTAAGACCATGCTGTAGCGAATGGATTAATGATGGTGGTCGGGTGTGGTTCCGCTGGCTTAAGAAGAAAGAGCACAGGAGAATTTCTCTTTCTCTGCTCTGACATTTTCTGTCATGTGAGACCCTTGCATTGCTGTAAAGCACATTTTCTGTCATGTGAGACCCTTAAAGAGAGTGGGAAATTCTATTACGGTTATTGAAAGGTGGGACCTTGAAGACATGATTGGACTGTAAGACCATGCTGTAGCGAATGGATTAATGATGGTGGTCGGGTGTGGTTCCGCTGGCTTAAGAAGAAAGAGCACAGGAGAATTTCTCTTTCTCTGCTCTGACATTTTCTGTCATGTGAGACCCTTGCATTGCTGTAAAGCCACCACCAAAGAAGACCCTCACCAGATGTGTTCCCTGGACTTTGGACTTCCCAGCTTCACAAACTGTAAGCAATAAATCTCATCCTTTTATAAATTACTCAATTCAGGTATTTTGTTATAAGCAACAGAAACAGACTAATACACCTCCCTTTCCCCCCACCAGGGGCGGGCATTTTTCCACTCTGCAAAATCCACAGAGAACAAGCAAAGAGAAGCGAAGGTCGATTTTCTCAGATTTTCTCAGAGAGGAAGGATGAAGAAAGTCACACTGAAGCCCACACCCCTGGGCTGACAGCCCAGCAAGGGTCTAGGCTGCCTTGGGAAACCATTGGCCACTTGGCCAGACCAACGCTGTCAGAAATGCGGTTTCAGGACAATGTGTTAATTGTGCTGAAGTGGACGGCAGGCCCCACCTGCGTTTGTCCCCTGGCCCAGCGGCCAGATGCAGCCTTACCCTTCTTTCAGCAGGATGGGTTGCTCTATGCTCTTGGGGTCTCTTCTCCCAGAAGACGAAATCAAATCTAAGAACTAAAGTGTGAAAGAAATCAGCTTGTTAGAAAGGGAACAGCACATTTGAAGTGTGTTGTCTCACAGACAATGACAACAGATGACGCAGGTGTCTGTGACTCCTTGATACCAGTGGAGAGAGAACGATGTGGGGACATGAGTCCTTCAGTGAGAATCGTGGGGCCTGTGCTGTCTCTACCACACTGGCCACTGCCACGACTCCCTGGCCCTTCCAGGAGGTCTCGTCTGCCTCCAAGTGCTACCTCAAGTGAGAGGCTGCCAGGGGGTGGGCAGGCTCCAGGCAGCACCTGGAAATCTGTCCACATCTTGACAGGTGACCCAAGGATGACTCTCTAGTGGCGGAATTTGAGGTTCTAACAGGGGAGGGAGGCACAGGCCACCCAGAACAAGACTGCTTTCCGTGGTCAAGGCCACTGCCCTCCTGGCTACCCCCTGGTTCTTGTGGGGTGGGGCCTCCCTGCTCATTTCAACTGTCCCACAACTTGCTTGGATTCCTTCCATCAACTAACAGCTGCTCTGAGCTCCAGGCTTTCCTTCCCTTCAATGTCCATGGTTTTCATGATTTCCAAGAGAAATATTCAAGATTGCTTCTTAACAGTACAGAGAAGTAAAGCTTTGGATCCAGGAGTGTTTCCCCCTGCATTTTAACTCTAATTTTGGGTCTGGGGCCCTGGGCTCCAGGGCTGGGGTGTTCAGGGCTGGGTGAGGGCAGAACAAATGGGGTGATAGGCCAGCGAATGAGGCTGGGAGTGGGCACCAGCATAACAGATGCCAAGGTACAACATCATGTCAGCTCCCAGGAGCCAGCCAGAAAGAGTTTGAAACTGCTCTGGGCATGAAGAAAGTGTCCTGGAACTACAGAGGAGGGTGTTTGGGCAACATCATGAATGCACTGAAATGTTCACAATGGGTAATGGTCAATTTTGTGTTGTGTGGATTTCACCTTAACTTAAAAAGGGCAATACTACTTCTTGGGGACAATATACACTACGGGGGACAGTGAGTATATGTTAGTTGATGGCGATACTTACGTTTTTCACTGCATCAGCATATTTCTGCTCATTGAAGAATTCATAAAATGTAGCCATGTATGTCTCCTTAAAACTGGCCTAAAATGAGACAGGTCACTCGATGAAGGCCTCAAGGTATCTTGGCTCATGACCCAATACAAAAAATCTACAGGCACGAGTTGTGACCAGCCTAAATCAGGATAATGAGACAAAGTGAAGACCCTAGGGCCCACTGGGTAAGTGGTGTGCAGTATAGAGGGCTGTCCCAGAGGTTTCAGCTCAGGTAGAGCAGAGCTGAAATCACAGAAGAAAGCTAAAGCATGTATGTAAGATGAATTAGACTTGGGGGGGTTGCAAGAGTTCTTTATAAAGAGTGCTTTGGTACAAATGACTCAATACCATCCCTGCATGGTCACTAACACCTGGGCTCCAGGCTTACAAAGCTGTGAACTGGCACCCAGATGTGATCACTGGCAAGGGAGACTTAGGGTCACAAGTGGGGTCCCGGAGCCAACAGAACTAATGACAGAGCCTGTGCTCCCAGGCAGGAAGAAGTGGGGCCTTCAAAGTCACCATTCCTGAGGCTTGAACCCCATTTAGTGTCGCTTTCATGTTGAGATTAACTTTACAGTTTCCCACATATGAAAATGAGATGAGCTCTGTGCAGACCTTAGATGCAGTTTAGGTTCCTGTTTACAGTGTCTGTCCACAGATACTGGGACAGGTCGGTGAAAAAGAGCAATCACTCTTCTCAGCCCCAGCCTCCGCCTGCCTGTGGGCCACAATACATCTTTTATTTACTGGGATTCAGAGAAACCCACTGTCTGTCCCTGAGGGGCTGCTCTCGCCTGCAGTGTGAGGTCCTGATTCCCCACAGCACTAACTTCTACCTGAAGGCTCAGCCTCAGAGGATGGGGAGCCACAGGAGGAGGCTCCTGCGAGTGCCTGTTCAGCCCTTTCCAGACAGAACTGTGAGGAGCAGTTGGGACAGCCTCCCCCTGCCTGGGACAGCCCGCCATCAACCTGGGGCTCTCTGGACACCAGCATCCAGCTTCGTCAGGCAGTAAGTCATGAGGCTCTTGAAGGAAAATGGGGCAAAGGGCTCCTTGGGATGGGAGGCTTGGGACAGACCCTCACAGGACCCCCTTGCCCTTCAGCCCCAACACCAGTCTGAGGTGAGTGACAATGAAGGCGAAATGCAGATTTGTTACCCAAGAGGGGAGTGGAGCTTGGCCTGCCCCTGCCTGGGGAAGAAGAGACTGCATGTGGACGAGCCTCCCAGCAAATGCCAGCTCCTAGGTCCATCCCGTAAAGCAGAAATGTCCTTCGATGCCCCATGCAGCTGGGGGCACCCAGGAGTGAAGCCCACTTAGGAGGCTTGACTACCTTCCAAATCCACTGACGGAAGTCAGGTGTGCTGCCCACCCCGACCTCGGGATGAGTGACGTGCCACCTCCTTTCTCAAAAGGCAAAGAATGACAAGTTCAGAAGGCGTTGGGTGTTCTGTTTCTTAAGGTGATCAGTGGGGATAGGATGCTGGCCTTTTATTACTATTCTTTATCCTTATAACTTTGTAAAAATATCACTCGTGTGTGAGGGATCTCATTTATCTTTTCTGAAGAGATTAAAAAATCAGAATGTTCTTAGAGAAAATGATGAAAATAAAAGACTTACAGACTTTGACTTCGATAAGCTGCCAAGAGTCTGGATAGTCTTTGAGATAAGCGTCAGGGTCCTAGATGTCTGCGGGTCCTGTTGGGGGGGGGGAGAAATGCGAGTTCTGTTCCTGTTTTATAGAAATGCTGTGATTGATCACAGAGTTACACAAGACGGCAAGACGAATGATGTCTCCTAAACACTAGCACAGCATGTGCACAGGCTCTGCAAATAAATACGCAAACACTGGATTCAGAAAGGGTTCCTCTAAAGCCTCCTACTCCACAGTGTCCTCTGAGTTTGCATTTCAACAAGATGCCCGGGGGCTCCCACAGGGAGAAGTGCGAAGGGGGTGTCTTAGAATCAGCAGCGTCCTGGAGGGGCAGGAGACCCTACCTGAGGACTTACCTCTCAGCCCTCACACGGTTTGGAGAGTCTAACTTAAAACCAAGGGAAACACAAGTGGGCCACCACTCGAGACCCCTGCCCCCTGGGCTGCTGTCTCCTATGCACCGTCACTACCTGGCACATTTATCTGTTGACATGTCACCCCAGCAGAATGTCAGCTTCATGAGAGTGGTGTCCCCCAGAGTCTGGCACTAGTAGGGGCTCAACAGATATTTTTTGACTCATGTTAGTAAGTGAATAAAAATATACAAGATCATAAACACTCAATTTCCTTCTATGGAAGGAGGGAAAATGTAATAATAGTAACTGGCAGCTGAAACCCTGGTCAAACCATACAGCTGTCTGTCAAGAGTTGTGTTAATTCCTCCCATCACGTACAGTTGTCAGAGCTGACGTGACTTAAATAGAAAGGTCACTAAACCCACCTATAGACAGACAAGCTGTGGGGACCGAGCATGTTTACAACCCACGAGCACATAACCAGCTGCACCTGCACTGCAGCACAGCTCTGCAAAAGATCCTGGCCCAAGGCTGACATCCTCTGCCAGTTTACAAGGTCTGACAAATTTAAGAGGACTGGCTGGTTTACAAGGGCTGACAAGTTTAGGAGGACTGGCTAGGCTAGTTTGGGAGGACTAGCTAGTTTAGGAGGATTGGTTAGTTTACCACGGTCGACAAGTTTAAGAGGACTGACTGGTTTACAAGGGCTGGCTAATTTAGGAGGGCTTACTAGTTTATTAGGACTGGCCAGTTCACAAGGGCTGACTTGCTTACCGTGTGGTGAGGCGTGAGCTGGAAGAGGTTGGGGGAGAGGATGGCGGGTGCAAAGAATCTCAGGAAGATAAAGCTGCTCACGGCGGTGTACCTCACGTCCAGGTCGTCTGGGGTCAGAGACACAGAATGGCTGTTCCAACCAAGTCAGCAGCACAGCAGCCTTGGGGCTTTGTAACCTGGTGCCCAGCTCGTCCCCAGGGTCTCAGGAGGAGGCACGGCCTCCAGTTCCACCCCTCTCTCTGTCTCTCTGTTTCTGTCTCTGTCTCGTTCTGTTTCTCTCTCATTACTGCCAGACTATTTGGGAGATGGGCTGCCACAGCCGGGGAACCCTCCTGCCCTCCTCTGGGTGGAGAGGGTGCGCTGTTTGTTACTTGTTTATTTCCATAATGTTCCAGGTGGGTGTGGGGTTTGGATGTGCCTGGGAACTGGCACCCCTGCTCCTCAGCTACCTGAAGGGCCATAGCTCTTGGCAGGGGTGTCCTGGCTGCCACACACAAGCCCGGGGCTCTGTGGGACACGGTCTTTCCTTTGGCCATGTTGCAGGCTCCCCAAGGAGGGAGGGCCTGGAGGACAAGGCAGACGCTTGGCCTCCTAAGAAGTGCTTCAGTGCCTGTGTACGGAGTGGGGAATGCCCTGCCCTTCCATCAACTAACATGGGGAGGTCTGTGTGAGGTGGGGACGCCCTGCTCCTTCCCAGGAGTCAGCAAGATTAGGCAGCAGGATTCCAGAGAGTGACGCAACAGCCACCAGGAAACCAGTTTCTCTAAACACTTTGGACTTTGCAGTCCATCCAGGTGTTTGGTGAAGGGAAGGCTTTCCCTTGAGGGCTCCTCTTCTTAAAAATGCCATGATGCAGAGTTCAAGACAGCACTGAGGCACGAGAAAGCCGCAGGGAAGACATAGGAAGAGCCAGCTCTCTGAGCAGAGAGGCCCAAATCAGGAGAACTGACATTCCTCCCTGATGAAACCCGGCAGTCTGGCCTTCTTGGTCCGGGGCGGGGGTCCCCATGTACTGACCCCCGACAAAATCCAACCTCTGAGCTCCTGCTCTAGATTTTGCTGGCTCTTGTCCTGCTAGCAGACCCTGAATTGTCCCCAGGCTTCCAGGCATCCGGCAGGGGTGGGTAGTTACCCAGCAAGAAGCTGTGGTCATTTTTCACCAACTCAAGCATGTCCACAAGGACTCACCTTGGAAGCGCTTGGCAGCAGCCTCACGGAGGGAGAAGAAAATGTCGCACATGACAGTCGGGCAGCTCACTCCAGACTTGGTGATGACGCTGAAGATGCGGTCGACATACTGCCGCAGGTTCTCCTACAACGGGACATGGATCAGATGCCTGGACTCCCTCCTGAGGCTGCCTGCGTGAGCCACATGGAGCACAGGCCACGCCTGCAGAGAGGGTGAGTCCAGACGGGTGGAAATGGCTCAGAGCAGTGGAAGACGCTAAAAAAAAAACCCAACCTCCTTTCAAACAGGTACTGAATAGTTATAATTAACATGATGCAAATAACTATTCATTGGCGCCCTGAGAGGGAAGCCACACTGGGCCCCTCTTCTCTACCTGGCTTCATTAACTGAGTGTGGAATGAAACTAACAGGAATATACCTCCCTGAAAGCAACAACTCTTATTTAGAGGCATGACCCAAATGCAGCATAATCTGCATGAAGAAATGACATGAAAAGACTAAAACGATGGGGTGAAGTGTCAACATCAGGGAGTTTTGTTTTTTAAACAACAGGACACAACTCCAGGAGCAACTTGAGATGCCCCAGGATTGGGGATGTGTGTGTGTTGAGACGAGAGAAAAGAACAGGCTAGGCAGCCTCGTCAGCCTGTTCCAAGGATGGTGGAGGAGCTCTCGGTAGTACAGCTGCACGGGGTAGGCCTGGGAGCAGGGAGGTCTGCAGCAAGTGGTCATAGATGACACCTCACACCAGGTCAAACAGTGCACTTACAGCCAAGGGGTGAGGCCCATCCCATTCCCCACCTACTCGGGGATCTGGGGTGAAATAGAAACTTCACACGGCCACAGGCTGAAAAACCCCAAAACAGGTGATGGGCTTTAGAAAGTGTTCATGAACAAAACAGAAATCCTTACCATGTTGTTTTCAAGGTTTTCACCATCTTTTAACTTCACAGGGTCAATTTCACAAGATTTGTGGCTTTGGCATATCTGAAAGAGCATTCAAGACAAGGGCCCTCCCTGTAAGGTGGGTTCCAGGCCCAGATCTCAGGCTTCCCTGAGATGGAGGCCACAAGCTTTGTGCACAAAACTGGAGCAGCTGACTCTACCCCAGCCACTGGTGCAGAGTGGGCATTGCAAGGCCAGGCCTGGGCCGCAGTTGCCACACAGACCAAACCCAGACCCCAAGCTTAGAGTGGTGTCTGCAGGGTGCACAGCCTTGAAGGGGACACCTGGCACCTGCTCACAGGCTGCAGGAAGGAGCAAGTGAAATACAGGATGCTAACATGGGGGGAGCAGCCCCGAGTCACTACAGGATAAACAGCTTTCTGTTTGCATTAGTTCATGCAGGTCTAGGCTTTGTAAAGCTTTAAAAACATCTTTACTTTGGAGTGCTGCCATGGGCAAAGCCGTGGGAAGATTAGAGGTCGTGGGTCCCCATTATCTGGGATATGTCTGGTTGCCACACTCCAGAGGGAAACTGTTGCTCCTGGTGATGTGGCGTGCAGGACAAGGAATATCCAAGATACCTGATTCCGAAACTTTGAAAACAGTTCTACCGTTTGGGCTGGGCCGCTGGGATTGGAGGAGGAATTAGCTTGAGGCATGATGATGAAATCTACATTGCTCCTTCAGGAGCGCAGGAGGAACTAATTCAGCCTGAAGACACATTTGTTTGTGACATGAATGAACAGGAGACAAGTGGACCTCCTTTATCTGAGAAGCTGAAAAGCCTTTACACAGCGATAGGAGCAGGTGCAGTGATTCAGACCCACCTGAAGCTGCTGTCGTGGCCTCCCTTCTGTTTCCCAGACAGGAGTTTAAGATTATACATCCAATAAAAGGAATAAGGAAATGTACCTCAGGAGGGCATTATAGATGATATGTTAGTGGTACCCATTATTGAAAATACACCTGAGAAGAGGGTCTTAATGAACAAATGGCTCATGCGATGAACGCACACCCCGACCCTGTGCAGTGCTGGTCAGACACTGTAGAGTGTGCATGTGGAGAGAACATGGGACAAGGCTAAGACCACGTGGGAGTAGTGATTTGCCATATCAATGAAGAAAGCAGGACTTGATCCTACACAGCTCTCAGCTGAAGGAAATGGAATAAGCCACGTGGAAGTTTGGTTATATACAGAGATAAAGCTAAGCTTAATTGTTACTTAAGAGAAACTTGACTGCTTTTCAAATGAATTGGAAATGTCCATGATGATAGTATTTTGTCACTAAATACTGCAGATGTTCACCCAGAATCTCTTCTGATACTTAAATGGTATTTTCTTAAGTGACAGGGCAGTGGAATAAAAATTTTATACTCAGAAAAAAACAAACAAAAAACAAAGTGCCGCCATGACTTTGCCTACAGATCAAACCAGGATGCTATTTTAAAATTTTCTCACATTTGCCTGTTTTTTATGAAACTGTTCCAGGGAATGCTGCCTGACAAGGCATCCCAGTGAACAGACAGTGAGGAACGCCGAGTAGTCTGGAAAGGAATGTCAGCCTGCACCCTGGGAGGGACAGCCACAGCCCTGGAGGTGGGGAGGCCACACAGATGCAGACTCAGGGATTTGGGGAGACCCATAAGCACATGGAGAAAGAGGGTGTCCCTGGAGGAGCCAGGTTTTTCTTGGATGTCCTTCTGGCTCTAACAGAATGATAGATTTTCCTAAGTATTTTTTTTTTAATTTGAGAATATGAGGAAGAATCTGGGACACCCATGGAACGTCCTCTCCATAGAAGATACAGAATGAAATGACACCCCTGTAGCTGGGTGGAGGCAAAGCTGACGTGACAGCCACAGCTCTTCGTTCCCGGACAGCTTTGCGTGCCCACTCTCCCTCACCTGTCCCTTGTGGAAACATCAGCTGGAGGCAGCCGTTGTCCGCCTGGCAGCCGAGGTGCTGGGACTTACAGGGCCCACCCGCTCACCTCCTCTATGGTGGGCTTCAGGGTGACGTGCAGGTAGTGCATGCCTGCCAGCTTCATGGTCTCATCAATGCACTTGGACGTCAGCGAGTTTCCTCGGAAAATGGTGTTGGGGTCCCTGGAAAACAACATCAGGGAGGATATGTGGGTCCTCAGGACACCAACACACTTTGGGGAGAGTAACTGGCCCTGAACACCCGCTAGCTGGATGCAGAAATGAGTGGACCCTGTGCCCAGACATCTTACTAGGAACACAAGCCAGGCCGGCCTCACGCTCAGGATCCTGAACTCTCTGAGGGGCTGCCCATTGGTAACCCACCCTCTCAACAGGCCTCATGCAACACAGCCCACCACTTCAGAGGGAAGGTGCACCGGCCTTTGCCCCCTGTGAAGTGTGTTTTTGCAAAGAATTCACACATCTGTGCACCAAAAACTTGGGTATACTTGAGGTCGGGCAGAGAACAACAGAACAGGCTGTCCTCACACCTGCTAGGTGCAGGGCACATTCTGCACCTTTAAGTCAGCAGGGAGTGAGGGTGGCTGTCTTGAGGCCCTTAGGGGCACTGTGTCCCCATTTGCCAGCCATGAGAGCTCTCAAGGGGCAATCTGGAGTGCCAGAGCAGGGCCTGGGCCTTCCCACTCCCTTCCCACTCTTTCTCCTCTGGATTTCCAAGAGAAATGGTTCTTTAAAAAAAATAAATAAATCACTAAATGTGTGAAAGAAAAGGTGAACTTACATGATTTCTGGGGGAGCCTGATGGTCCCTCAGACTCTGCACCTGGTGGGGTTGTGGACACTTCTGCTGTCCCCCACCTCCACCCTCCCACCCCCAAATTCTCACCACAGGGCAGCGGGGATGGGGCCGCGGGCTGGGCCGGGAACTCACTGCGTCCGCTTCACCTCGGCGCTGGCGATGGCACTGATGAAGGGCACAACGCGGCCACAGTGCAGGAAGAGTCGCACCAGCGGGATGGCCGCCTCCTGCTTCTCCCTGCACACCTCGCCCAGGATGTGGGCTGCTGATGCCGACACGGGCTGCACAGGGGACCGGGTGAGTGGGGGGCAGCACCCCCACTGAGCCCCGTGGACCCCTGCCCTGCTCTGCGGTCTCACTTCCAACCGTAATAAACACAACTCTTTGCCGAGACAAAAAGTGCTACAGGAAACCCACATCAAAACCTGCCATCTGCACCCTGCTCTGCTCCTCCAGGGAGGGGTCTGCACTTCCTCCCACTAACCCCTAAATCCAGGAGGTGCTGGGGGCCTCGGGCAGGGGACCCATGATGAAGGGGTCAAATCTAACACAAGTTAGGAAGCCCATGGCTCTAGCTGCAGAGGGGCTGGGCGCCCCCCTCCGCCAGCAAAGGGGGAGACAGGCACCCCTGGGCAGGCCAGGACCAGCTGCAGGGGACCACCAAGGGGAAGGGGCTGCAGGGGGGAAGGGTCTCAGCACCTACAGGGTCTGGGCACTGGGCCCCAGCCATCCTGCGTGGGTGAGGTGTGGCTCAGACAAGTACCTCCACGTCTGTAGACTTCAGCAGTAGGTCCTGTAGAGGGCGGTAATAGTCGGAGGAGAAGACATGGTCTTCCGTGTAGACCACATTCAGTCTCAGGGACCCCAGGTCATCTGGCTTCAGACTCTTGCCACCGTTGTCTCGGGGCTGCAGGAAGTACCTGGAGGGGAGGCAGTGTGAGGTGCATTGCACTCCGCAGACCTGGTCTCTCCAGGGCAGGCCTGCTGCCACCGGACCTCCCTCGGGCTGTCCTGCCAGGGTCTGAGGCAGGTGGTAAGGGACCCCAGGGTGATTCTGCAGGACACCTCTACAGGGTCTGGTCACCTGGGGGCATTACCCCTTCAGGGACTGGTCACCTGAGGGGTTAAGGCTGACTACACAGAGCTACAGACTTGGAAGGTGGGGGGAAGTGGGGTGGGGGGAGGAAATTAGCCTGCTGGAAAGTGCATGTAAGCAGTTAGGGAAACTTTGCAGGTCAGTAATTTACCCGTGAAGATTAACACCTAACAGCAGTGAGCAATGAGAAGACCAAAGTTGAAATTATTTCAGCAAAAGTGTGGTATTGCTTTTGACGTCAGGAGACGGTGCGTGTGTGTTGGGGGCTGGGCAGGCCACCTGGGCACAAGTGATTTCTGACTGGCTACTCCACCCTCTCTGGTTCTACCAATCCTGTCATCCAGGACCCTCCCTGCTCTGGCTTTATTGTCCAGGCAGTTTAACAGCCTGGGGTCTTGGGTGGGTTTTCAGTGGGCTGCCTCAGTTACCAGGGCCAGGGGCCTGCTTAGCATAAGCAGAAAACCAGAATCTACGTCGGTAGGCCTGTGCTAGTGCTGTCTTTGTGGCAGTAAAAGATAGGTATTCCACGATCTCCTGGAAACAGAAACTCTGCTGTGCCAAGCACTGCAGAAAGCCACACAGTGTATGGCTCCTGGAGTGTCCCCTGGGACTCTGAGCTCTCCTGCGTGTCCATGAAAGGAAGCATGTGAACTAATCACAAAATAAAACAAAGGCACTATTCCACGATCTCCTGGAAACAGAAACTCTGCTGTGCCAAGCACTGCAGAAAGCCACACAGCGTATGGCTCCTGGAGTGTCCCCTGGGACTCTGAGCTCTCCTGCGTGTCCATGAAAGGAAGCATGTGAACTAATCACAAAATAAAACAAAGGCATTTCTCATATGCCCAAATACTAGGTATCCAGAGAAAACAGGAAATAAAGGCATGAGTAAGCAGGACAGCGGAGAACTGCCTGAAGTACACAGCACGTTGCAAATCGTCCAGTAGTGACACTGCTGGGGTCCCCAAGAGGAAGGCTGAACACCAGCCACCAGGTGGAGCTTACTACGCTGACGTTCTTAGAGGCCGCTGAGCCATGCCAATGGTTTGTCCTCCAGTAATCAGGCTCCCAAAACTGTTTTCAAAGTTTTAAGGCCTGTTTCTTATCCCCACCTTCCCCTTTCTTCGTGTTGAGGCTCTGCTCTGTGATCCCGTTACTTCTCCTCACCTGCTATACGAGTACAAGCTCGGCCACAGGCCAGAGCCGGATGGAACTGCGTGCAAAGTAAGAGCAGCTGGGCACTAGGCGAGGCTGAGGCCAGGGCACAGCCCCGTGCCATTTCGTTCTGGCTGTGCAGAGGCAGCACTGTTCTCCTTGACTTCCCAAAGCTGTCCCTCAGAGTCTGGCCGGGCATGGTTTGTCCTCCAGTAATCAGGCTCCCAAAACTGTTTTCAAAGTTTTAAGGCCTGTTTCTAATCCCCACCTTCCCCTTTCTTCGTGTTGAGGCTCTGCTCTGTGATCCCGTTACCTCTCCTCACCTGCTATAAGAGTACAAGCTCGGAGACAGGCCAGAGCCGGATGGAACTGCGTGCAAAGTAAGAGCAGCTGGGCACTAGGCGAGGCTGAGGCCAGGGCACAGCCCTGTGCCATTTCGTTCTGGCTGTGCAGAGGCAGCACTGTTCTCCTTGACTTCCCAAAGCTGTCCCTCAGAGTCTGGCCGGGCAGCTGCCCCTTACCATGCCTCATAGGAGCTGGACTGCCGCAGTACTTTCAGCGGAATCCGTAGTTCTCCCAGGAACTCATCTCCAAACTTCAAGTTGCTGGCATTCCAGAGGTCAACTCTGAAAAAAGGCAATCAGTACACAGATCTTACTAAAAGCAGAGTTTACTGACAGCATGTTTTCCCCAAGAGGGGCAGGAGCAGGATGGGGCCTTCAGTTCCTCCTAAGTCAGGCCCAGTGAAGAGCCAGACTGAGTAAAAATACTGTTTAAAATACGAGGTGAAGGCAGGATGTGGCTCTGGAATGAAGGCTTGCATTTCCCAGGTGCGATAGATAGGCAGAGGGAGGTGGAAGCTGTGCTTGGGGTCGGCTGGGGCAGCAGGGCCCCCAGGAATCAGCCCCTCCTGGCTCTGCGACAGGAGGGAGCCACTGGGCACTGCTACGTGGGATGGAACCACACAGCTGCTGTGCTAGGATCCAGCAGCATTTGTCCCCTGTAATTGGGAAGACGCCCAGCAGCAGACACCCAGGATGTGTCCACCAGCTCTGCCCCAGACCCGGCACGGTGGCTTTACCCTGCAGGGCTCAACATGGTAGACGACGAAGGGACCATGCCTGGGCCGTGAGGCTGCCTGTGGAAACGGTACCTGAAGAGGACGGGCTGCCCAATTCAACCACCAGGCACACCCTGTTTCTGCCCATGAAAACATCCTTGGAAAAACTGGGTGTCTGTGAACTCCTCCTCCCTGAACTTAGAACCTTGCCTCCGCAGTTGCTCATGACCTACCAGTGTGACTCATGCTTGAAGGGGCCGGGCACACCCACCGGGAGGGTGACCACGGCTGGGTCAACGGCAGAGTTGAGGGCATTTTTGCCAAGAGTCCACGCCCAGCGTTGCCAAGAGCCTGGTCATTTCTAACACAGCAGGGGGCGCTCACTTGCCATTTTTCCTTGGGGGATCCTCACTGTTCCCTCACATGGGGCCGTGGAATTATCTCTGACCCTAGACAGACACACTTGCAGTGCTAACAGTCCAGGAGCGCGCACGTCCCACATCAGTGACCTCGCCATCCGGTTATCCACAGGACTGAAAACTCATGCAGATCTAAGCACGCTTTGGTGGTCAAGGGCATCACTGTGGAGGGGAAGATTCTAGAAGACTTGTCCAGTCTTTGTGTTGCCTTGCAATTCCAAGCCAGCAGGAGCACTGCAGAGCCTGAAGCATGTTCCCTCAGGATTAGGCGCACCTCCGGGGTACGGCCAGGGGTGTTGGAGGGTCACAAGCAGGAGCCGGCCTCCAACAGCACATTATCTTCAGAAGAAACAAAACAGCATCTTTTTTTTTTAAAGGATGACAGGTAAGGGGATCTTAACCCTTGACTTGGTGTTGTCAGCACCATGCTCACCCAAGTGAGCTAACCAGCCATCCCTATATATGGATCCGAACCCGTGGCCTTGGTGTTATCAGCACCACACTCTCCCAAGTGAGCCACGGGCCGGCCCCCACAACAGCACCTTTGATCTGCCAATGGACGCCTTAGCAATATAAGGTGCTGGGCAGGCATTTTTTCCTTTTAAAAAAGAGAAATATTTAAAACATTTTTTGTATGCTTTAAAAAAACTTAAAACTGGGATTTCTCTCTAGAATTTAAAGTTCAGTTTTAAAAAGAAAGAAACAACCTTCTTCATCTTAGCAAAAGAAAGGGGAAGCTGGAGTCTTAGGGTGGAGCTGGACTCTATGCCTGTCAGACGCTCCACCTCAGTGTCCCTGCCCCACCCAGTGTTCTAAGTGCTGGAAATGAAGATTTAAACTAAAACTTTAAAAACTGGCCTCAAGGGCCAGCCCATGGCTCACTCAGGAGAGTGCGGTGCTGATAACACCAAGGCCACGGGTTCGGACCCCTATATAGAGATGGCCGGTTCGCTCACTGGCTGAGCGTGGTCCTGACAACACCAAGCCAAGGGTTAAGATCCCCTTACCGGTCATCTTTAAAAAAAAAAAAAAAACTGGCCTGTTTGG